CCAAGGAGGACAAATTGGCCATATGTCAAAGCTTTTAAATTTATAATTCATGGAGAAATAGCTTTAATAGCTCCTTCTACCTCAAGTCTGTGTGCATCTTTTTCGTCCTTATTTACATGAACTTAATGTAAATACCTGAAGACGAGATTTTCTGACCTCAAACATTCTACAAAAATGTCACTCATAAGATTTTAGATAGGGTCCATGAAGACCAAAAATCGAATAAAACCGCAGGTATTTATTCATTAATAATTTCATATATATTATTCATTACACTGTGCGATTTAAATTTTTTTGATAATCGTCTGGAAATTCCAAAAAATATGATAGAGGGGCAAAAAATAGAAGACACGTGTATCGGTATTTTGAAAGTTTACATCGGGCGGTAACTGATTTACTGATAAAAATGTGAGCAATATTTTTATATCCTCAGCATTATGAGGGTATATGGCTCATCGAAATATTGGTTTTAGACCCCATGTTTCTTTGGACCAAATCCGTTTCAGATTTGAATTTGAAGTCAATTTACTATTAATTTTATATCATGCAAACGAACTATCCGAATTAAACCAAACTTTGTACAACTTATTATGGTTAAATCATGTTCAAAGATGGGGCCCATTGGCCCACTCCTACTGGGATCATCCCCACAAATGCTCAAAATTGTGCAAAAATTAATTTTATAATATCATGCAAACGGACGATTCAATTTGAACCAAACTTTGATAAAAATATTCTTTATATAAATCGATTTATAAAAGTATGTAAAAACGATCAGTAAAATCTGATGTTTTTACATAGTGTTATTATAACACATGAATGCAAAGAATTCTTTTTGCACATACCTAATGTGTTGTATGCTTTAATATAGTCCTACCAGTCCAATTTTCTTTATTTATATTGTGAGAATTCCATTATAACCTTATTTTGCAAGCCCTAAGTAAATATTTCATTGCAAGGGTCGATCCATAAACATTCTAAACTAGTTACTAGAAAATCGTTCAAGGCATTGAAACCTTCTCAAACTCCAATGTTCGCAATCTTAAAATGTTGACAAATAATGCGCCAAAATCTGATACAGATACAGGAAAATATCAATACAAGACTCAATACCAATCACAGTGTGCCTTGTTTTCTTTGAGAATTATGAAAATAAAATCCAGTAGCAATTTCAAAATCATCTTCTACTTGTCTTTATAAAATGATGCGGTTACAGTGGTCATGCTCTGCCGAGAGCAGTGATCAAACACAAAACCTTTTTTAATGCCGCACACGTACTCTTTACTCATTATGAGGTATTAACATAAACTGCAAAACAGCGATGCTGTGTATGAGGCTACTACCGACAAACCAATTCAATTTCAATTCAATTTTCATTTTTCCATCAGTCCGTCCGTCAGTTCATTCGCAAAAAAAGAAGTGCTGCTACCTCTGAAACCTTGAAGTATGCCTTATTGCTACTGTTGTACACATAGCGGCGTTTCCAACCGATTTACACGTACGTGCTGCCGACAAATTCAATTTATCCAGAATGTGCAGTCGTCATTCTTGCAATCAATAGCCGCATAATCACAAATGAAAATAAATGAAACAGAAAAAAAATGTTTTCACAACATCGAGATGATGGAGAAGAAGAAGAACTGGAACTGAATACTGTAGTCGGGAGATTGCAGAAACAGTAGCTAAATAGGTAAAATTATGCGATCGTGGTTGCAATCACTATGGGGATCAATTGAAAAGGTCTCAAGCATCGTCAAACTTAACAAGACAAAGCTCATCGACGGACGTAAGTAAGCTGTCGCTAAAGCTCAACTCAACTGAACAATCACAACTCGAACCGTTCGATGATCGACATGACTGAATGGTGTCTCAATTCACGCTCACGTCCCATTGTTGCATGATCAAAGACACAGAAAAACGCAAAGAAACCGTTTCCCTAGTTTTGCATAGCCGTTGTCAGATTTACGCAGACTGTGTCGTCCGCGTCACATACTTAGTTCAATTTCTGGGGTGATTATGTCGCAATTGCCAACCAGATGCAGTCATCTATATTTGGTCTTATGAATGTAGATTGTGAAATCACTGTGTGACGGGTCTGACGAAGAAAAACAAAACATGTGTTTTATTATAAATATACAATAAAACATACGTAGATTTATATCCATACGATGTGGAGTACATTAAATTAGTATTTTTGTTGGTAGCTCCAAATTCTGGTTGCCAAAATTTTGAAATCTGCGATGTAATCCCTTCTTGTCATATATAGACAGTGTATAAGTCGTATTTTATAAAAAAATAAGATTTTTAAAATAATGTTCTTTGTAGAGTGCCATTGTAGTCGTCTTTAAAACATTGATTTCGTTTTAAAAACTCAGTTTTTATATGCATGATACCATACATATCGATCGACACCATGGTGTTGATGTCCTCAACACATTCGGCGGCACGTTGTGCGACGTTATCTGATCGCTTAAATGACCCCCGACTACCACTGCTGCTACTTCTGCCACTGTTACGCTTTAACCAGAAACTCATCAATATATTGAGTTCAATCAATAAATTGCTGGACTCACATATATCTCTCGAAGCCAATTGTCCATACATATGGACGACGACGAATATGAACGACAATAACAACATTGAATATGCCAGCCAATATGGTGGTAATACTAATACTGATGATTTGGCAATCATTGCCAGCTGTTAAGCATGGTGTCTGTGTTTGTATTATGGCACAGATTGGGGCATGATAAATCATTTTAATCTCTAAATATCACTTGCGAAATTGATTTTTAGTTTTGGGAAGCTGTTTGTAAAACATTGTTGCAAGATGTTGTATTTTTTTGGTAACTTGTTTAATATTTTATCCACTCTAATAAACTACAAGAAGCAACAAAATCGATCCCTTGGTGAGTATATTCAGACAACAGAAGAATATAGGTGATGTTTCCTGAGTTATGACGTGCTGAATTTGTTGCTAGTAACCCTACAATTTATAAAAACTAATGCTTTATATTCGAATGGAATGTTGAATGTTTTTATAAAACATATCGTCCTTGTGCATTGTTTAGTCCTTTTTTCTTGTACTGCGAACTAAAAACTATAAAGCGGCATTTTTTTTAAATTTTCCATGAAAATGTCGCTCTAAAGACAAAAAATAAATATTTTGTATGTTTTCATCATACATTCTGAAAAACTGGCGGATTCATCTAAAATATTGACCATGCATATATCGCGAGAGACAGATCCGGACAAAATTTTGATCAACCGATTGAATTTATATAGGATGAAGTTTCAACTTGATCCAGCGATATAACAATAGAACTGTTTTGTTGTTTTTTATGAATTGAACGATATTCGCTTATATTGTTTTAGCACGGGATCCAGTTTTCTCTTCGGCAAACAATTTATTCCATTTGATTAGCCATGTTTTATCATTGAAATTATTTGGTACAAAAATTGGGTTTCTTATACGAAAATCCAATTCAAAAATTTTAGGGGTACGGATGAGTCTTCTGCGAATAAATTTTATTAACGTATGTGGCACAATGAGGTACACATCTGGTCAAAACTGAAGCAACTGAAATTGCAAACTAAATAAAGCATCTGTAACTTTTTTCAGAAATAAAAAGGTAATTTATTCCTTAAAAAACAGAAATAATAAACGCAAAATTTATTTTGAAATAAAAAATATTCTATTAAAAACTAAATTGACCCAATTTTTGCTTTATCAAAACTAAATAAACTTTTTGATTTTTTTCCTATACATAAGCGCATTCTTGCAGCACAACTACGAGAAAATTAATCAAGAAATGTTAAATGTTATCTTTAGGTTGCTATAAAACCTAGATTTTTGACTTCCTTAACCAACCTTGTATATTTGAGGTTATTGTCATGTTGAAACACTCAGCGAAGGGAACCATTGCATTTTCCATCACATGTGTATAAACAATCCGATCCATTACTTCATAAAGCTTGTAAATAGGTCGAACACCATAAGAAGAAATTGAACACCATGACCCGCCTTCATGCTTCCCAATACCCTTGCAATATTGAGGCCTGAGTCTTCTATTTGTAGGCCTTCTCACCGTAAATTTATTCGTGTCTGATCCTTAAATATTAAACTTTAGTTCATCCGATAACATACTATTTCTCCACTGAATCGGATTCCAATGATATGTCTTCCTGATATAATGATTATAACGGTAAAAATAATTAAAATTTCAGAGTCATCTGTTTGTACAGAAGAGTTGCATTAGTTTTGTTCAAGCAAAAATTGAGACAATTTCCTTTTCCATACATTATTATTTATTTCAAAATGAATTTTGTGTGTTTAGTAAATTAAGTACCCAATTTAAAACTGAAAAAACAGAGGGTCTCTTTATTTTTGAAAAAATTATACGGAATTTATTATCATTGCAGTTTTTGTTGCTTTAGTTTGGCCACTAAAGCCTGGTAAATATTTCAGACGAATCCAAAAGTTCCGTATAATGCACAATTTATTCCCTACCTATTAGTTGATTTGAGATTTACTGAGCAAGGATCGGGTAAAAGTGGAAAAGGACGAAGAAAACATTTGAATATCTGTCTGTCGCCTTTAAAGATCTTATATGAAAATTTCATCTGGTGGTATTTGAGTTCACAGTTTAAGAAAGTAAAGTCACAAAAAATGCGCAAGGACTCGGGATAGAAGGAGGATATACTATGTAAAATATTCCTTAAAAAATTAAACAAATCATTAAGCCATATCTAAAATACTTGATGAATGTTTCGAACATTAATTTGATGTTTTGTTTAAAATATTAAAACTTAAAATAATCTAAATTTATATTAACAACATTCCTCTATGAGAAATGCCAACAATTAACCAAATGTTTAACAGACAAGGAGTATACACAATAAAATTTTTAAACCCTATTCTTTCAGAAAAGATTAAATATTTCCCATACAGATAACCATCAGTGGCCCTGTCTTGAATAAAAAAAATACACCACACTCACCTTGATCTTCATCGAAATTTTTCGTTGACAACTGGAATAAAGCATCCAATGGCGTATCACTTGGCATTTTTGCACCTTTCTCCGTTGTGCTTTTATTACTACCTTCCGATTCGGTTTGTGATAGCCGTTCATGTAATTGAGATTGTCGTTTTCCATTACCATTATTATCATCCTCACCATCGCCTTCATCATCTTCATCACTACTGGCCACATTAACTTCAGGTGAACAACATTGACTTCCACCTCCCGAACTAGAATCTCGTGAGCCGCCACGTTCTGAACCATCTTCAGATGGTATAATATTTGGATCTAAAGACATTTGTCGCAATAACTGGGCCTGGGCATGGAAATGTTCCTGTATTTGTCGTTGATAATCCCAGGCCAAACGTTGTTCATAATGCAACAGAGCTGGTGGGAAAAATGGATGAATGGCTGGTACAGTTGAAGGTAGTTGAACAGGAGGCGGCAGGCGAGTGGGATCATTCCATGTTGGTGGCAGGACTTTTGGTAAATCTAACATTATTAGAGGATTTGCGGGTGCACCAACAGCCGTTAAGGGTAATGGCAGGGTGTTTGGAACCATTACGGAAACATTTGCATTGGGAAGCATAATTGCCTGAGGTGGTGGTGTTGCTTTCCGTTCACAATTTTTTGTTTCATTCGCCTCTTCATCCTTTTTCCCCAATATATCCGCTATGGAAAAACTTTTAACACGTTCGTTACTTGATTTACGCCGTTGAGGCATGGGCGCAACAAATTCCCCAGCCTGTGATGTCTCCAGTGCATTTTTAATACGCTTTAAACCATTTTGCAGAGAGTAGTGTAATTTAGCGTTGTTTGTTAATAAATATGATCTATGCATGGGTGGAGGACTGGGTGATCCCACCGAGATCTCTGACATGGCAGGACTGCTGGAACGTATCATGGTCATTGATGGTGGTGATGGTGATAATTCTTTCAACAAGCCACACATAAAGTTATTCACAGAAATAAAAAATCACTTAATATTTTAAATGAGATAATTTGAATTTAATTTCAAAATAATAAATTATTTCACTTCATTTTGTGTCAATTAAAACTTAGCATTAATTTGTTAATTGATTTTGAATAATGGCAATAATTCCTTTACGTCACTTTTATTGTTTTTTTTTTCTCTTAACGCATTTGTCCAATACTTGAACAGAAAGAGCAACAACAATTACACATATCACGTGTTAGTTTTAACCAGTTTTGGTTGCATCTGTCAAATCAACTTTTCGCTGGTATTACAAAATTGCGTCGGTAAAACGTGCGTTTTGTGGCAAAGCAAAAATGGCTCGTGGCGCCCGTGAAACTAACGTGAGAGCAACTGCTGGTAAACGGGGAAGCCGCATTAACACACTGTTCTTGTGAGCACGGAAACAAAAACAAAAACACAAAAAAAAACACTGAATGATGAAAAAACTGGTTTTTGCCTCGCTCCCATCAAATAAACACCAACAGATATGAAGAATGACAGCAGTGGCAGCGGAAAATAAACTCACCCATACATTAAAACATCCAAATGCCTCTCTCTCCAAATGTGTACCAACAACACACTCCCCCCATTGTTGATACGTTTGTGATAGCAGTAAAATTGTTGTTTATAGTTACACAAGCTAAAAAGAGACAGCTATAGTTTCATTGGTGATTGCATTGTTCAATGCAGACTCTTAGAAAATGCACCAATCACAGGGCGTGAATCTGTACCGGGGGTTATTCTCCTTGCTGTGTTGGTATCATTTCAATAAATTTAGCCAAAAATTGTTTTTTCTTTGGTATTTTGTTGATTTTGCATTGTTGTTGTGTATTTTATAGCTGTCATCGTAAACGTCATCAATTTTTAGCAATTTGACGTTATGTATTTTTTTCGTTGTTGTTGCTGTTCATTTTTCAGAACAGAATGTGTGTTACTAATAGTGTACAGTGGGTATAAATATTAAATATTGTATGAAAAACGTTGTTGTAACCTCGTTTGTTATCAGCGCATAAGCAAAGCCTCAATCTTAAGCAATTTGTAACACAAATCGTTAGAAATTAGCACCGACTCGATTAAAGAATCTCGGGAACCTTCGAGTTCTCAACCATCTTGGTATTGCTGGGCCAGGGTATGGAAATGTTCCTATATTTGTCGTTGATAAACTCCACACCGAACATTTTTCTAGGTGAGAAAAACGAAAGAATGGCACTGGTGGCCAAGACTGAAGCAACTGAAATTGCAAACTGAATAAAGGACCTGACACTATGAAAATAAACATATAGTGGAAGTTTTTTTTTCTTCAAAAATAAATATGTATGTAATTTATTTTCTTTTATAAAACAGAAAATCTGAAAGCAAAAAAAAGCTAAATCGTAACTAACGCAACTTTTTAATCTGTTTTTTATAAATAAGCAAATTTTGCTGGTAATCGACTGCTTAGCCATTAATTTTGATTACGTGGCATTGAATTAAAAAATGCTCAATCCTTGGGTATACTATTCCTCGCATCCTCAATCGTTGGGAAGAGGTTATGTCTTCTTGTTTGTGAATCTCTTTCCTATTTTGCTATTTATGTAACTCCAAAGATTTGTCTTAAAGGGTCAAGATCTGATGTTTGGCTGGGCTTTATAAAATCCTGATTTTTTACTCCCGCAACCAATGTTTGACAGTTTGAGGTTATCGCGATATATTTACTTCAGCGAAGGGAACCATACCGTTTTTAAATAGGTCGAACTACATAAAAAGAAAAACAACCGAATACCATTATTGACCCACCTCTATGCTTCACAGAGCACTTGAAATATTGAGTCTCGAACCTTTAATTTTTTATCTTCTAATAATAAATTTTTTCGTGTCTGAGGCTTTAATATTTAACTTTAATTCACACGAGAGCATAATTCCATAATGATTCGAATTGCAAGGCCATCTTGCTCTTCGATTCATTTCAGAAATTAAAGGACTTTCTTGATAGTTTCCGGGCATGTAGGCCTGCTATCATAGCTCGTCCACACCTATTTCTTGAGGTTATATTCAACTATAACCCTCTCACCAATTTCGTTGATATCTCAAAAGGGTATATTTTACTGCTATGACAATTTTTTGATTAGTATGGACTGATGTTTTTCGTGACCTCCCTCCTTGATGAACTGTCACTACTGAACTAGTTACATAAAACAAAATTATTATTGGGGAAATCACGGATTTATTTATGGAATATTTCTCGGAAATAATATTCTATGACAAATGCTTTTTTTGTTAATAAAGTACTCGATTTAAAACTGAAAATACTAACATGATATTTTTATTTTTGAAAAAGTTATACAAGATTTATTATGCTTGCAATTTCAGCTGCTTTAGTTTTGGTCACCAGTGTATGCCAATTTTTGAGTTATGTGCGATGATTTTTTGCTGGTAATGTTGTCGAAGAAAACATTTTACAAAGAAAATAGTTTTTTCATTTTTTCAGCATTCTATATTACCTTTCAATAACACATCAAAATCCACACAAAAATTATTTCCCAATACCCACTGTTATGCGATTATTGTTTCATGACATATACAAAACTTTAAACGAAAATAAATGTGCGTGCATGTGTGTCTGTCCATTTACCATCATGTTGGAATTCGTAGCCATTGTTGTTCGTAGCTATTGCTGCTATTTTGGCGTCTTGAGATATATTAAGTTTTGTTCCACTCGGTTGCCTCCGTTAATTGTCGTAATTGTGCCGCCGTCGCTTACATGCTTCTTTGACTTTGACGTTGTTTTTGCTTTTCGGTTTGTATTGTTTCCTTACGATTTGGCCCCCATCTCTTTATCTTTATGTGTGTATGTTTTTTGCTCTTTGGTAGTACTCTTCTTGCATTCGGCAATTTTCGTATAATGTTATCTTTGTCTTCTTTAGAATGTATGCCGAACGAACGAAGGAGAGACGGAGCAGAAGTCCTTTTTAGTGTTTGCCAGCAATTGTCACTAATAACGAGTGTCTAGTTTTCCGATTTCTTTGCTTTGCGCGCCTGTCATTTATGTATGGTGTAGTTGTGTGTGTGTTGTTGCCTTTGTCGGCTATTTGTGGCTTGATGTATTTGCTGACTGCTGCAATTTGCAAAACTGTTTAATTCTTGAGCACACACACACCGAGACATAAACTCACGCATTGCAGACAAAAGGTGTCGTTTACCATCCCCCCATTTTAACCATTTGGCAGGCAGTGTCCCCCCGTGCTTGTGTTGAATCCCACGTCCAATGGAGGGTATTGTAGTCATGTATGTAGTATCGCTTGCTGGCATTGTTTGTATTGTTTTTGTTCTTTTTTTTTGCTGTTGTTTCTTGTTCTTTGTAGCTGTTTTTGTTGTTGTTGTAAATGTTTAAATTGATTGCAGTAAATCACATTTGTTTAAATAATCTTTTTTGAAGTCAACCGTTCACAAGTCGTTTTTCATGTTTAATACAATTTGTAAGTTATACATTGCTCGTGTCCTATACACACACATACATACACACAATGGTAAGCTTGCAAATATGCTTATGTATTTGCTCAATTTTTAGTAACTTGTTTTGTATTTTACTTTTGTTGTTGCTGCTTTTGCTGCAGTAGGCAAACACTCCCTCTTGTTTTTTGGTTGGCATAACATTGCCGTTCTGTCGGCGTTTTGAAGTCCTGTTTGTCTTTTCAAAAAGCTTGAGCGGTTTCTTTTTTGATCCCTGCCGATGTCGAAGTTAATCATCAGAAGACAATGACGGAGTTATGAAAAAAATCATCGATGGCAATTGATGGAAACAATGTTATTTACGACCAATACAATTCTTAGTTAGATATTATTAATCTATTTATAATTATGAATGTGGCTGATGACTAAACGTGCATTTATTGATGAAAATGCGATCCAAAAAAAAAAAAAAAAACCTTTTTCTAGGAAATATAGCCTTAAACGTCAAACATTGAGTGGCATATTAAAACAAAATAGAATTATAACCAGACAGATATCAAAGATAATTACCAGGCTATGCCTATGGGTGACGAATGTGCCCGTTAAATGCCCTACTACTCTACTCTGGATAGGGGCGGCGATTTTTTTTGTACGAATCTAGGAAAATTTCGCTCATCGACAAGAAATCGATAGTCTCATTGTTCTTTTCCACTTTCTCCTTTACTACATTACAGTTACAGTAAAGTGGACCAAAATTAATCACAATATATAACCCAAAGTACCAAATTACATCCAATTTAGTCAGTCCAATAATATTATACGCACTATATATTGTCCCTCCTCAAGAACTACCTCACTGTGCTGCTGATAATAACCCAATGAAACAATTCTTGCCGTAAAAATAGTTGAAAAACGTTTGAGTTTGCGTGCAAAACTGAGGTGCAGTCTATGCTGAACATGCAAATGTCATTTAAATTTGCCAAGTAGTATTCTGACGCCTCAATATTCCCTACCATCTTATCCATTGTTTTAGTAAATTTTGTACGCAATATTTTTTCCGCCATAAATGCAAATACGGCGAATACTAACCTAAATGAAATTATGTAAGGGCAAGTATAAAGAACAAAAAAAAAAATCATTTTGGGATATTTTGCAATCATTTAATTATATATATCATATTTTATACATTAAGGACGTATTCTTTTTTTCTATTCCCAAAACATCACTATATAAAACTTTGAAATGTTTACAGTTTAATTCCACCCACTGTCACTGAGGAAACATCGTTAACGTTTTTTGTCTCTGTATTTATTTAAAATCAAACAACAAAAAATCACAATATTAATTGCTGTTTACCTAGAATAACACTATAATTTATACATATTTTTTTCTTTCCTTCCAGCCTTTTTGACATGAATGCTTAAACATGTCGTAACATGAAGAGCTACTTAGCAGTGGCTAAAACAAAGTCTATTGTATGTAAGTATACACATACTCGTATGTGTATATACGGCTTTACAATATTTACATAAATATTTACTTACTTA